CTCTTCTTATATTGAACTGTCCATATATTGGACATGATTTTATTGATTGCGTCTAGTGGATTTTTCTGAATATCACCTGTCTTTCAATATTCGACATCTAGAATATTCACAGAACTTTGGACGCGACTTACAACAACTAGGATGGTATGTCATCACGTTATTTCCGATTTCCAAGGTATTACATTTGCTGAAAATGTGTTACTATAACAACACACGTGTGCGTGGGGTCATTGGCGGTTTGAAAACATTACAATTCGACACCGCCATCACGTAACTCTAAGGCACCCATGCTGCAAGTATGACAGACTGTTTCGGTCTAAGATCTATAATACGCTTAGTGATCTCTAAGAAGGCTTCGTTTTACTAGGACTCCTGATACATGTTTAAACGATAAACCACCGTTTCTACACTGGATGTCTAGATTTAAAATTATATCGACATTGATAGATATTGTAACAGACTTTAATACCTTCCAGTTTTTCAAGTGGGGAAAGGTAAACCCTATGGTAGCCCTAATGCGCTATCATATGCTTTCGTTATTGCTGAATTTGGAGACTTAAGATTATTTGAGTATAATGCAATCGCGTTCGTGTATGTTCATCATGTTTAGAGCATAATATGGCCTATTTATCAGATAGTGATGAAAACGAAAGGCAAAGCAAACTGATTGATATAGGCTCGTTGATTAGGACAGAGACGATAAGGCCGATAAGAAGTACCAACGAATAAGACATGAAAAAAAACAGCAAAAGACAATTTGTAAAAAGAAAATTTGGTCTAATCCTTACGTAGTTTAAAGCTGCATGAGTAGCAAAATACAATATGTAAGCTTATAAGTAGAATAACAAATCTACAAATTTTTATTGAAATAATAATTAATTTGTTGCATTAATTAGATAACGACCACTTCATACAAATCTTGAGCCATAAAAATTTACATAAAGTCTTAAACTATGCTTCAATTGGTCTGAAGTGCATGAATCAAATAAGAACACTAGAATCAGATTGTCATGATTATAACGTTACAATATACGACACTATTTTTTTTTTTATGAATGACTATTATGTTATGATGATAAATGAAATGAACCCAAATATCACAATATAAAACATTAAAATAATATTAAGTAAAGAATCAATGGCTGAGTCATTCAATTTATAAAAAATATCATTGAACTATTTGTTTATTATTTATTATTTATTTATTAATGATGTACCCTCTAGATATTAGGATGGCAGTTCCGACGAGATTAACAGCAATGTGAAATATAGATGAATATTCAGCTATTAGCTAATGATGTACCCTCTAGATATTAGGATGGCAGNTCCGACAAGATTAACAGCTATGTGAAACATAGATG